TGGCTCAGAGGTTAAGAACACTGGCTGCTCTTCTAGAGGTCCTGAGTTCCATTAGCAACATCCAAATGGTGGCTCACAACCATCTGTAATGAGATCTGGTGCCCTCTTCTGGCTTGCAGGCTGACATACTGGCAGAACACTCTATACATAATAAATCTTTTAAAAACAATTCTATATGGGTTGTAGAAGTATGAAATTGTTTTGCCTTTGTAATCCTTCCCCAAACTTCTCATGAATATTTAATTCATTAGAAATAAACTACATATCCAGACATGATGACTCAAGCTTGTAATCCAGCACTTTTGAGAAAGATACAGGAATACAGATCAACGCCAACCTAGTCTACATTGGGAGTCCCAAATAGCCAGGACTACTGTTAGACCCTTTCACAAAAGAGAGAGAGAGAGAGAAAAAAACCTACCTTTAACCTTTTTCTGGATTTGGTATGGCAAGAACTGACTTCTAAAAATCCTGGTAACTTTTACTACTAGAAATAAGACTTGATCATGTTATCATGTTTTTTGTTTTTTATGGCTTATTTTTTGTGTGTGTGGTTCAGTGTTCCTTTGCAATTTGTTTAGCTATATTGAGAATGTATTGATGAAAGTGTAGAGTCTTTTTCTCCTTTGAAACAATGTCAGTAATGTCTTATTTTTTAATCTTTTCAGCTAGAAGATGAAGCTCTCAAGTACATAGGTGCACACTGCCCTGAGCTGGTGACTCTGAACTTGCAAACTTGCTTAGTAAGCATCCCTTCCCATAATGCTTCCATACTAGTAATTCCAAAAATTGCAGCAGAAACAGTAGATTACAGGCGTAGTAACACACACCTATAATCCCTGGAGTGAAACCCCAGCACTGAGCTGATGGGGGCAAGAGGATCATGAGTTGAAGGCCAGCATGGGTTATGTAGCAAGTTCTAGACCAGACTAGGCTGCATAGTGAAGCCCTGTTTCAAAGACAAAACAGGCAGAATGACTTGCATCTGTGATTCCAGCATTTGAAAGCCTAAAGCATAAGAATCACCATGAATTCAAAGCCCTGAGTTACATAGCAAGACTTACACAGACTTTTATATCTTCTTCCCTTTTTTATATTTT